GCCGCGCTTTTTCACTGTTTGACGAGCGGTTGTATAAATGTTATTGCGTTTTCTTCATGTTCGGTGAGGACGTCTTACCTGCCGCAGACGTCGTGGAAAAATAGCTTACGTAAAGGAGGAGAATCGCAGCGTGAAAAGACATCAAGAATTAGCGTTAAATTTACGACAAAAAAAGCAACCTTGACCATCGTCTCGAAAGGGATAAGCGTTCGAGGGAAATCCTGCTCGTAGCGCTTGGCCTCGTCGGTGGGCGAGGCAGGGCGCTGTCGTTCCAAGTGAGGGGAGGAACCGACAGGGATGAGGAAAGAAATATTTCTTGTAAGAACGAAAGAGCCGGGTTTTATACAAATGATCCTCGAGGCTTAATCCTCGAGAGGTCATCCTTAGCGGGTCGAGGAGGTGCCGAGGAGTCCTTCACATCCCTCGACACGCGGTAACAAAATGGCTGATCCCCGAAGACATGGTGGGGAGTCAAAGAGCCCAGCCAGGTGTGAGAGCCCGCGCCTCCAGGACCTTCCCAGTGTTGCTTTTTTACTCCTGCGCCTTCTATGGACACAAAGGGGACGCGCACCTCGAGCAGCCAGAGACACGCCGCATCGACCGTCCGCCTTATTACTGGCAACGGAAAGAGCACAACTCTACCTTTTCCGGACTCTGTTTCATCCATATCTGTGCATGCGGGACGCCGGACTCATGGCCGAGGCGCCGCTGCCAGGGGCGGGGCGCGGAAGTGCCTCCTTGGAATGCCAGCGAGAGCGCATTCATCACGGAACCCGAGGTGCCGCGGGACCCCATGGCGAGAGGCACGGCAGGCAGGTGTTCCGCGGGGCATCCCTCACGCTCCATCACGGCCTGCCACGACCTGTCACGGCATACCGACTCCATCACGAGGTCACCACTCCCACCAGCACGACCTCATACATCTCCTCTTCCATCAATACCGGTGTCCATGCGAGGGGAGCGAGGTGCACGCTGCTCAGTATTGGGGGAAATGCATTATGTATGAGTGCGTATTCCTCCCTGCCTGCCTTCTCTGTCCTCTTATTTTTACTTTCACTTTTTTGCTTCTCGGCGATTTCTTTCCTTACCTCCCCCTCTTCCCCTCCAACATGACCGCCCCCTCTTTTTTCTGTCTCGTCCTTCCTCCCTCTTTGTTTACTTACTCCATTCCCAGGTTCAGGTGATGTGTATGGCTGCTCTAATGCCCCTACGCTGTGTTATGTGCGGCGGAGGGAGCCATTACCATGACGTTTACTATTGTTCGGGTAAAAGATGTGTTTGAAATCTCCGCGACTTTCCTTGTGCTCGTCGCGCCAATGCGGCTGTTTTTCTTCTCATGTTTTTTCTCCTTTTTCTGCAAAGCTTCGTCGGAAATATGTTGCTTAAAGAGAGTTGAAAATATAATCGCTATAAATATCTAACACAGATGATAGTAGGAGAGAATTGGGATGGCATGGAATAGACAGAAAGCAAGAACCTGCGGATTCTCCGTCCGGCTGTGCAGGAATTTTGAGAAAACTCGCGTGTGAAAAATTTGGCGTGAGACGCGTAGCTAATCCCATCACAACGTTGCTTGCAGCCTTGATTATACGGTGGGAAGGATCTCGGGATGCGAACATGGATATTTCGCCTACCTGGACGGGAACGTCGATATATACCCGT